GCTTTCTTCGTGGCGAACTGGATTCGGCTTCGTGCAACCTCTGCTTCAGGGTAAGACGCTGGTAAAAGATTAAGGTACTTTTCAGCCACATCTAAACGACCGTGGGAAGCAACCACATCGGCGTATTCGAGATACTTGTCGTATAACGAAGTAAGTTTCCAATCTGACGGCTTTTGCTTTTCGGAATCTTCGAATTTCGAAACTTGCCGGAATATCGTGACTTTCTCGATGAAGCTTTGAAGAGCACGAACATGAATCGCAAAACTGGTATCATTAGTTGCATTTTGGATGCTGGATGCTTCATTTTCTTTCAATTCCTCGATCCATATTGAGACAACCTTTTCAAGTTTCGAACTCGCCAGGTAGCAAAATGCAGCATCCTTTCGAGCCTGCTTTGAATCTTGTGACCTATGGCTTTCTTCAAGTCGATCACCTAGTGCCTCACAGAGATCAGGAAATTCGTTGTCATCCGCGAACGTGCAAATCGCAGCCATGGCTTCTTTCCAGTTAACAAGGTCTGCGTTATGAACGACATCCCATAAGTTCTTTCCCACCACTGATGCGAGGAGACGAACATAACTAGGCCCGTCCGATTGTTTCGAAAAGTACGCCTCTTGAACCTTTTCGATGCAATTTTTGCCTCCGCAGACTGCAACCATAAATGCATCAGACATTCGATCTTCTTGAAGGCACACTTCTAAGGCTTTCTCGAACTGGCCGAGTAATAGGGCTCTTGTAATCGCTCTATCAGCTTCAGATTCTGACCCAGTGTAAATCTGGAACGGGTTATTGGTTTTCGCTCCCTTTGACGACGCGATTTCATTGAGGAAACTTTCTCCTTCAAAGGTCCCATCAAAGATTGAAGTTATTCTCTTATGCTTCCTAGCACTTTCACTTTTAGGAGACAGCTGATCGTCGCCGTTGATCTCTGTCTTTCCCAGACCAAGCTTCGAGAGACTATCAGAAGCCTCGTCTACCTCGTTTGAAAACCCGAGATAATTGATCAATTGTTTTCTCGGGTTGTCAGAAAGTAATGTTTCGATAACTTTCCAGTCAGCCTTCTCTTCCTCAACCTGAGAGTCAGCAATCCGGGATTCGCAAATGCCGCGGAGATCCCCAGTTTTCAACGAACTCTCGAAGTTCTCGGTCGAGTTACCAACACTAGGCTCAATATCGAAATGACTGATTCTAATTTTTGAAGCTCTGGTTCCGGAAGTCAAGCCTACCGAAACAACTCTGCCACCAAACCCAAACGAAGCTGTGACTGGCCTCTCAAGCCATTTGGGGGCTTTTGGAAGAGAGAAAGTAGAGATCTGTGGCTGGGTTTGGGCTTTTGCAAAGAAGTCCTCATCATTCACGGCTTGTTCTTGATTCTTTCCAGCTTGGGGTGCATCATGTCTTGTGTTCTGAATGGTTTGAATGGCAATCTTTCCATCAAATGAAGCTGTGGCAAACATATTAGGGTTGTGGGGATTCCATCGGGTTTGGAACGTCCAGTTTGTAACAACTGGAAATTCGCCATATGAGTGTCCAGTCTGAGGATTCCAGCAAATGGTTCTGTTATCCTTTCCACAAGATAGGAGTAAATCCGGATCTTGTGTGCACCAAGAAAGCGAGAGTACACCGGACTCATGACCCCGTAGTACCTAACGCGAGTAAGTAAATATACACCACAAAACTTCTAACAAAACCTACCCGTTCCGGCGCGTTGGAGTTCCGTAAATCCCAAACCAAGATCAAGGGGTCGGTTTCCAGGGGTATAGAGGTTATTAGTTTCGTAGGCTACATACATTAGTTTGCAATATCCGTTACGGAGGTGAAGTAAGAGGGTGTTACCTTCTCAGGGTCCCAGGCGACGGCACTGACAGCCTTCCGACCGAGATTGTTCAGAGTCAAGCTTTCTTTCTTCGTCTTGACGTCCCACACCGTTACGAAGCCCGCGCTACTTCCGGTCACCAGAATATGAGGTACTTTTTTATTCCAATCAAGACATTCGATATCATCAACTCGTGCAGCAGCGCTACCTAGTCGGAACGGCTGGTCAACGTTATTAAGATCGGAAATGAACAACTGCCTTAAGTTAGTAGGTAGAAGATGATAAAGAAAGAATGTTCAAGCAATGAATACCTCCCCCTTTCCTCCGCCTGTAGCTAGTAAATTTGAATGCCTTGGGTTGAATTGCAGTGTTTTGATCGACCCGCTGTGTTTGGAAGCGCTCGATATAAGTGGATCGCTATAGGCAGTTAATCGAGAGCTCCCGATAGCAGAATGTACACCACCGACCTTGCGCCATTTAAGAGTTTATCAGCATCCCACAAGCCCATAGACCCGTTCTCCAATGCACCCGCGATCACTCCTCGGCTATAATCTTCTAGCTCCGCCCATGCAATGTCATGAAAGCTGGTGTGAGAAACACAGTTAACAAACATGAACGTATAAGCAGTATCTATTCAGGTTCAAAACACTAAAGCGTACCCAGAATCTGTACTGATTTTTGCTGCTGGCTCCAATTCCGCTCCAAGCTTATCATTATCCAGGTCTAGGTTCCATAGTTCGAGGAATGTCTCGTTGGAAAAATCGGCGTCAACTGCGCCCGCACGCGTGCCGGTAGCAATGAACGGAGCAGCTGACCCGGGAGACCAGGTAAATGTGGCTGTTCGGGGAATTTCCCTTAGACGCACCATGGTGGATGGTCAAGGGAAGCGGGACTGAAGAAAATCGGGGGGTTAAAAGGACACCGACCAATTTGACCCTAAGAATTGCTGTACAAATAGAGGCGTTGGCAGTTAGAAAAGGTTCGCAGCAACTATATATGTAGACGAGTTGGAGGGTGTCATTCAATCGTGCTTCGGTTTGGACCAGGGGCAACTTTCCTCGTCCTAAAGGTGGCCTTCTTGAACGACGACAACTGAGGTCCACCAGCCCCAGATCAGTCACGTGATATTTCGCTATGCTGAACAACTTTATGGCGGGCTTAGACGATTGGCCTCATGGCAGACAGCGTGAAGTCTTTTGCGCACTTAGATATCCTGTTGCGGTCTGATCGACTAATGGATTTATAAGAAACGTCGAAGCGCTTCCACTGATTCTTTCCATCATGTCAGACGCGTCGAGATTAAAGAACACAATCTATGTCGGCGGGCTCGATCAAGCTGTGACGGCGCAAACGCTTGCAGAAGCTTTTATTCCCTTTGGTGAAATTGCCGACATCACTTTACCAAAGCCCGAGCTCCCTTCATCTACTGATCTCCATCGTGGTTTTGGATATGTGGAGTTCGAAATGGCCCAAGATGCGAAGGAGGCGATCGATAATATGGATCAAAGCGAGCTTTATGGACGGATCATTAAGGTAGCGGCTGCGAAGCCACAGAAGGATAGCAACGAAGGACTTGGAAGCAAGACTGCTATCTGGGAACAGGTACGATACTGCACCCTCCTGATACTCCATCTCGCTAGATTCTAACCGTAACCAACTGTTAGGAAGGTTACCTTGCAAAACATGCTGTTAGCGAGGAGGATAGACAAGATGCTGGACAAGCGGGATCGACTGCTAATAGCCGTCCGGATCCAATGCAAGGTTTAGAAGGCCTAGACGTCGCTGGGCCCAACCCAGCATAAGATCGAGAAGTGAACATAAATCGGAGCTGCAAACTTTCGATTCAACCAGAACCCTTGCTACATGCTTCTTGCGTGGAACGATATATTTACAATAGCTACCACCGCCGCAATATCCCCGCGTAACACTACACATTTGAAGGCTGCGGGCGGGTCTTTCCAAAACCACTCCTCGCAAGCAAAAACCTGCCTTCGACCCCAAACCTCTCATCCAACGTCTCAGTGATCCTCTGGCTTTGACCGACTAAGGCGAAGCGTCTTATCCGTCATAAACTTCCTGATGCTGGAATAAATGCCGGCGCCGACTGCAACGCTGTGGGGAGAGGAGATCGAATGTCAACAATGATTGGATTTAGGGGAATAGTCGAATCGGGTCTTACCAAAGAACCAAACCTGTACGTGTATAACATTAATATGTGAACTACCACGACGAAAATACCATCAGAGGTCTTTGATATCTTACCTAGAGGGAGTAACTCCGGAGGAATCTTTTTCAAAGTTCGTAGACGTTGAGAGACGGTATGGGCTGATTGCAAACATTAAAACATACGAACATCATTTCAGATGGCAACTAGACCATTTGGTGGCGCTTACCGCTCTGGTCTTCCTTCTATAAAGCTATCAGCATTCGCGATACGTCAACCGAACGCTCAAGGGGATCTGGGAACATACCGGAAGTGGGCGAAAAACAGGGCGGGTAGCCCTCATAGCCAAAGCTCGCGTAGCATACATCTTCACAGGGGCGAATAGGTTTCTGGCACAGGAATTGGAGACGTCAATTGTACGCAGACACGAAGTTGCGTCCAGGGCTTTTTGAAGGTGGTGAAACTCGGAAGTGGTTTGATGGTTCGATTGTTCAAGAAGTGGAAATAAGTCGCCACGATTGGTCGGATCGCTTTGGTCGGCTCACGGGACTCTCACCTCACAAAGCATTCCACCAACGACAAACATTCAACCTCAACCAAGCTGAAGTCGTCAAGCATTGGCAGCCACCCGCAACGCCATTCCAAGAGGGTCAATTGTGTTTGAGTTCTACCGGCAAGATGTACGAAATTCCAGATGCTGATCCTGAGGAGCCCGTCGAGACAAAGCCCTTCAAATTCGTGACAGGTATGTTGATTATCCCACTTTTGGAGTTGTCCACAATGGCAAAAGAACAGTGCTAATTGACGGTGGTATAGCTGGTACGTACTCTTAGAAAAGGCTTTATATAATAGCTTTGATGAGCTAGCCTCGAGCTCCACGATTGATGCGTTTATCTCGGTTCTAACCCCCGTTGCCAGGTTTTGACGCTCGCTTCCCGAACCAGAATCAGTACGTCCATGATCGTTTGGCAATTAGAGGACCTTTAAAACACGTCTAACACAGAATCCAGAACCAAGCACTGCTGGCAGAACTATGTCGACTATCACAAGTGCATAATAGCCAAGGGTGAAGAGTTCAAACCCTGCCGACAGGTACGCATCGATTCAACCATCTCCCAAAATCCCCCGCAACAATTGTCGATTCCACCTTCACGGTATATGCTCACTTTGCATGGCAGTTCTTCCTCGCTTATCGATCTCTCTGCCCCAAGTCCTGGACTGACCGATGGGATGATCAACGTGGTATGATCCCAATTCGAACGGCCCCTCCTTTTGAGTCGCTGCAATTCGTCTAACTATATGGTTAAACAGAGGCCGGTAACTTCCCAGCTCGTCTTGACCGATAAAAGAGCCCCAAAACCTCACCAATTACGATACGAGGTGATGCAACCTGCTCCTATCCCAGCCATTTGAAAAAGAAATGCAGGATGGGCACTGTGCTCTTTTAGACCGTTGGTTTTCTAGGAAGTGTATATAACCGTGTGACAGTAGCCCTTTGAATGGAGAATTTTGAAGCTGTAATTGCCTCTTAAGTATACACCCTATTCCTATCGCGTGATCGACAGTGCAGGACGGAAACAATAGCAAGTCGATTTTTTAAGTCAGTCATTCCTTTGGATGTAAAAATGTCCGTATACGTCAACTTTTCGACCATTTTCTGTCAGTCATCCACGTTAAAGTCGGTGGTTGTTTTCAGAACGGTGTAACGTGAGCACGAATCAGTAGGATTATATTGGGAAGAAGGAAATCCATTAATTACTAACATCCGACTTTTTAAATGTAAGATCTTAAATGCGATCGGCTTCTATATTATTCTATCCCAAGCTTCCTTGGTCTACTCCGTATATTGAAACCATACCAAATAAATGCAAAACTTCTTCAGCTTTTAGAACGCCCGAAAGAAAATCACCCAGCAGGTACTCAACTTGCAAACACAAAACATACCCTCAGCGAAAGCGCATCGGTTCAGTAAGCCAGAAAAAGAATGGCTGTATTATTCCGTTCCGTAGGATTGGGGTATCCAAAAGAACCAGCGCAATACCTGCGGCACACCAGTTTTACCGAGAATTATGCAACCAGGAATTAAAAGTAGACCAGAATGGCCGGGCCACCGTGAGCAGGTTCGAGGCGCAAATGTTGTTCGTTAGAGGCTGACTTTGGGGTCGCCATCGGGCTGTTTTAATGCTCTATAAATCTTCTTATGTTGCTCCAGGAATAGAAATGTGGCTATTGTATGTGGTCCAAGACGCATGAAGCTGGGTGTCCAGCCACGGAACATCCACGAAAACCCTTCCTTGTGGAAGACTTCTCTTAGAAGCCCGATAATAGTGTGGCCTCTGGTCTCCGCATGACTAGCGCCCATAATTCGTGTCTTTATAACGTCGATGGGGCTACAGAGCGTGGTTGCAACGAACCCAGCCATAACGGATGCCGTAAGATGAGTACCAACATTGTCATCCATTCCAAGATGTTCCATACATATCTGCTTAAATTCGTCATATGTTGCTAGTTGGGCCGCGGTCATGCAGACTGCTCGCAAGGAATTAGGCCAGACGCCGCGAAATAAACTGGCGACCCCCTCCGTGCGAATCATTTGCGACATTCCGTGGAATGCATGTCGATAGTTTCGCCGTTTCTCGAGTGGCAGCGCGGCATCACGTTGCATGCGGACATTTAGCACATCTGCCGGATTTCCAACTAAACCACCCACGAATCCAGAAAACGAAGCCATGCCAATGAGAGTAGCTAGGGATGGTGAAGAGGAGGATGATTTCGCAGCGCGGGACTTGAGCTCTTCATAGATTCCAAATCGAGTGGTTGAATATGTTATCTGCCGAAGAAGTGATGCTGATAGCTAAACAATCGGAATAGATATTAGCGTCCAATGAGCATAACTTGAACGAATCTCAGCAGAGTCCTCATACGCCACTATAGAGGCCGAAAAAGCCATTATTTTTGCAAATATGGACTATTGTCCTCAGCGTCCCGGTCGGATCACCCGGTCCACGGGTTTGCAACCGAACCTATGTCTTGCTGTCAGCGCAGTTGCAGGTGGGAACGACGGAAAACCGCGCAAGAATACCTTGACTACAGTCAAGCCAAATAGTTAGAAACATGCTATACTAGAGCCAGGGGAACGATCTAAGACTCACCTAGATCCAAGGGATGTGTCACGCCCGCCGCGAAACATGATGCTGACCCTCCAAACCAGAATGGGTAGTGGATTTTAAGGCTAGTCGAAGGAAGAGCACCAGGTTGCCCGGCTTTCGACTTGTCACTACTTCCCATCTTGATATGGAACGGTAAGCATCATGCCAGACGTTGGCAAGCTTCGTACTTTGAAGATTTTGCTTGACAGCCACGGCGGGGAGTTGGCTTTCGGTCAAGTTTTGGGCCTTGGGATCCCGAGCTTCAGGCACGGCATATCAATACGATCAATTACGCGTAAGTTACAGGAATAAGCGGGATATATCAATTTATTACGGAAAGTCACTGTTACTCTCGTTGGAAGTCAAATAAATTGTAGCTCTCAAGTTTGGTGATTCTGTCTTCTGCAGGGCAAACGGCAACCATCGAGACATGCGGTTATTTGCGACCGGCAGGGCGCTCCGAGCGGGCTATGAACGGCGCGCGGCCGCAATTGCATGTCGACCCTGGTGCGGTCAATTCGCTTCGCAACGCTGGCAAGCTTCGTTGAGAAGAAACTGCTCTTCAACAGCTCCACGATCTTCTACGAACACTCCGAATTCAGTGAAAGATGCTTTTGAACAATCAGCAGCGCAAGCTCGGCCAGCTTCCAACCTAGTTGTTGCAGGCGACAACGCTTATACGCGAGACGAATGGACCAATGCCACTCACACCATTTTATCCCATGTCGGACGCCGGCTGTACCTCGAGAAGAACCACCCCCTTTCCATAACGCGCGAGCTCATTGAGAGTCAGTTTACCGGTCCTGAATATGGAAACTATGTTGAAACGGATCCTGTCGTTTCTGTTGTGCAGAATTTCGATGAGTTGGGTTTCGCAGCCGATCACCCAGGGCGCGGCCGAACGGATACATATTACATCAATAAAGATACCGTTCTGAGAACACACACCAGTGCCCACCAACGTGCATATTTTCAGCAAATGCACAAGAACGAAAAGGCCAGGCCAGAAGAGAAGGGGTACACAATCGTCGCCGACGTCTATCGCCGCGATGCGATTGACAGGAGCCATTACCCCGTTTTCCACCAGATGGAATGCGCACGTCTCTGGAAGCGTCCTGTGACGGCAAGTGATATTTTGAAGGACTTGGATAAACTTCCTCGTCATGATGTCCCCGTTGAGGATCCTAACCCAGCCTTTCATCCCGAGAGGAACCCCTTGCAAGATAAGCACCACACGCCCGAAGTGGCTGAAGCAATTGCCGCCCATCTGAAACGCTCTCTTGAACTCCTCGTCATTAGGATTTTTTCCGCTGCCAAACAAGCTACTTTAGACCCTTCAAAACACGAACCCCTGAAAATGCGGTGGATCGAAGCGTTCTTCCCATTTACCAGTCCCAGCTATGAATTAGAGGTATTCTGGCAAGGGGAATGGCTCGAAATTCTTGGCTCCCGGAGTCGTCAAACAAGAACTCCTCGTTTCCTCCGACGTTCCTGACCATATTGGATGGGCCTTTGGTTTAGGCCTGGAACGAATCGCCATGCTCTTGTTTAACATCCCGGACATCCGCCTCTTTTGGTCCGAAGATCCTCGCTTCCTGTCCCAATTTGAAGCCGGCAAAATCTCCCGGTTTGCACCCTTCTCTAAACACCCTGCCTGTTACAAGGATGTCGCATTCTGGCTCAGGTCCACGAGCACACCTGCGGGCGGTGCTGCAGCGTTTCATGAAAATGACATTATGGAAATCGTTCGGGATGTCGCTGGGAACTTAGTGGAGGATGTCGGACTGGTTGACGAGTTTATGCATCCAAAAACCGGGCGTAAAAGCCTGTGTTATCGGATCAATTATCGTAGCTTGGAGAAAACGTTGACCAATAAACAGGTTAACGAGCTGCACGAAAATGTAAAAGAGAAACTGGTGGGTAGATTTGGGGTTGAGTTGAGATAAAGACGTTAAGGGCCCTATTTTCAATTCCTATTTCCACTCCATGCAATATGTAGACTTTCATGAAACCATTCGGTTTGCAAATGTATTATATTCATCTTCCCTTCAATGGAATAAACTCATGGAATCTACCTATGTGGGACACTTTTCCGTTGAACTCCAGTATTCCTAATCTTCGATTTGATGAGGCTGTCTAGGATATAGGACAAAAGTGCGTCAGCCGAAAAGACATGCAAGAATGGCATAAAATTTGAAAAAAATCTATATTATCATATCATATTCTTTCGATGGTCCCTTTTTGTCCGACGTCAATGCGAGAAGCCAACATAAACCCCGTAACTAGGCGAATCCAAAAGTGCGACTACAACAGAGAGGAGATTAAAACAAACCAGGAAAATGTAAGCAGAAATATACAACCTATATGGGCCATGACGAAAATCGAACCGTCCATAGTAAACGCCGTACCACGCTGAGCCTTTTTCCAAATTAGGGAGGTAATGTACAGGCGGCAAAGACAAGATGAATATCCGGTCATTTTCAGTATAATACAGACATGGAATTCGGAACAATGACGGATAGAAACGTTCATTATGGGAGACCTTTGGAGGTCGGGGATTTGAAAGTAAGTCGTATGTTATTAAGCGTTCTTGACAACGCCAACTTTAGCAGCCTGGGAGATTTATTAGCGGACGGCATGACTTTGATAGAAGTTTCAATAACTATACCCTCAAGATGCGGCCGTTGAGTATAAAGCCCTTTGTTTGAACGTGCAGGATCTCCCCGTCCTCTTTTCCGGGGGCAGGGGCCATGAAGGTGGCCTCGTGCCGGTTGGGGTCAAACTTTTGGGGTTTACCATCCACCAATTCCGAAGGGTCAAATCTCTCCAGGCGATGTGTCTTCAAAGTATTCATAATCACCTTTTCTGTCATCTTAAGACCGTCGTAAAGCTCGGCCAAATCCTTGTTTTCTCCATTGCGTAACTTATCGGAAGGAACGGCTTCAAGGGCACGCTCAAAGTTGTCAATTGACTCGATTAAATCGGCTCCAAATTTCTGAATGGCGAATGAGCGTGCGGAATCGACATCACGACGGGTGCGCTCCTGGAGATTGCGGAAATCGGCCACAGAGCGAAGATATTTATCCTAAACGGCAGTCGAATTTTAGTTAGAAGAATGTGTAAAAGGTCGAGAGATATGTTCGCGTGAATTGAATACCAATCATACCTTCAGCTCAACAATTTCCTTTTCCTGTTTTTCAATCTCCTTCTGCAAGGCTTCGGCATCTGCCACTTGTGATCCGGCTGGCTTCTGTTCCGAGTTGTTTCCCTCAGAGGCGGCGGCTTGTTCCTGTGCTTTATTCGCTGACGACTCCGTGGAATTAAATCTCTGATATAGCCTAAAGGGCGATGCTTTCACGGGCTGCGCAGAAGTTTGCAAGAATGGCTGGCTTCGGGATAGAGGAGAAGTTGAGATGGTACGAAACGTAAAGGCAGACCTTGCCGCCTGGGGCTGCCGAATCAACGCCCTTCGAAACATTATGTATAATTATAAGGTCTTGTTTGCTGAAATGAACCCACTGAGCTAATTGCAAGGCGAAATCAGAGAGGCTTTAAAAGTTCGATCTTGTTGAGCATGGAATTTGATAGCAAAACGTCCAAAAGAAATTCCCCAAAAAACAGCTTTCGGCACTCAAGTTTCGCCGAGCCGGGCCCAAATTGACCACATCTTTTATTTTACCGTCTTCCACCGTCCCTCAACGACGTCCATCCATCGCAAGGCGCCAGAGGTTCCTGCTTCCATGGCGGAACAGCTACTACGCGCGAGAGCCCGGTCAGAACCCTTGGAGCGACCGTCAGAATACTGGCCCTGGGTGGCTGACTTGGTCAATTTGAGAATCGAATGATCTTCCACATTAAAACCCCCAAACTATCTCCTAGGCTAAGACCTAATAGCACACACTACTTCGATAGAACTGTTGTCGCGAAAAGGGTATTCTCCAAACCACAATGGAAAGGGACTTAAGAAAATAACAATCATCAGACCCGAAGGAAAACCAAGTGCACATACGCCTAACCAGGGCGCCAATCACCTTCGAAGGGAACGAGTCGCAAGTTCATCAACCATAGCCATCGTGATTGCCATGTCGTCGTGATCGAATTCAATCATTCTGCTTAGGATTTACAATACTCTCAGGCCGATGCTTTTGTTTCAGAGGCAGGAGAAAAAGCAACAGCGGGCAAATGCAACGGGGGACTTCCGGAATATGCCATTCTCTCCATATCCTTTTCAATATTCGCAAAGAGGGCCTGGATTTCGGCATCCGCGTATATCTTTATTGACTCGACATCTTTTCGCATCGCCCTGGAGTAATTATGACCTTTCTGCGAATCAATGCGTGACCGATCTTCAAAGCTTAAGGGGTCTGGTACTGTTTCTCCGTATCACCAAGGTAGCCGCAAGATGCTCGAGAAGTTTTTGCCGTACAAGCGCCCGCCGCTGTTCTGCATTCTCCAATTTAGAGTACCACTCATCTATGGATCTGTCAAGCTCAAAAAGCGCTTCTTCCTGCTTCAAGATTCCTTCCCTCGAAAATTTTGATACTCTCGGGGATTTGAGGTACAGAATCATCCGTTGATGCAAGCTATGTCGGCCAGCTCGAAGTGAATTGTAAGTTTCTCTGAGATAGTCACATCGCTTTTGCAGCGCACGGAGTTCCTTTAAATTCAACATTAGCTTTATGATCGTATTTCAACAACGCAGCAACAAAGCTACCCTTGAAAAGTGCTTAACCATCACAACCGATTAAGCACCTCGAACTTTTGTGCTTGATTGTGAGCCTGTCTTTGTAGTGTTTCGATCTCAGCTCGTGGAAGTACTCTTGAAGCCTTATGAACAGGAATCCCCAGAGGGAAGTTTGGAGTTGGAACTCCGGGAAGTTTTTTCGCCATTTCGGTATCATCTACCCGAACCTCAACTGCCGCATTCTTCTTCGGGGGGTGGCTCCCCCATTGCAAAACCGAGTCGTGTGATAATCCTCTCCGATGGTTATTGGGGTTGTCCGACCCATATTCAAACGGCGCAGACTGGTTTGGCTCTTCTGTTCTAGTCCTCTTATGGCATGATGGTCCTCTTCTAATCGATGACGTGGGAGCTGTTGATCCATTTGTTAAGTTTGTTGGGGTTGCTGAAGTTCTGCAAGGAAGGGTTTGTCCAAGCAGGTTGGGGGAGCTCCTCCACGGGCTCTCCTCAAGTGATTTGCTACTTTGGGAGCTGAGAGTGGCTCCTATCGTGGACGCGCTTGACGCCTCTCCGCTAGATGAAAATCCAAGAATATTCGGGATCCGAAGAGCTAGTCGAGGAGACTTTGGCGGGACCTCTGGGGGTTCATCAAAGGTTGCCTGCCTCAAATTGCTAGAGTTCGACGGTTGATGCGTTTCATTTTGCTGAACGGTACATGCTTTGCTCTTGTTGTCCGTTCGCCGTGGTGAAGACGAATTGTCCCCGCATTGCTCCGCAGCCTTGGTGCAAGATTCTCCAACAGGTCCAAGGACGGGAGTCCGAGCAGTGCTGTTTCCTGCGCAAGCGCCTGGTGCACTGTTTGACCTTTCATGGATGGGATATTGACCCGGAATCGTCGCTATGCTAGGGTCAGTTATTTCGCCAACTGAGCTGACGTTACACTTACGGGAGTCAAGTGATCTCTCCTGGATCGTCGAGAGCTGTCCAAGGTCGGGGACGCTTATCTTATGGCAACGACTCAGACCTCCGTCTTTGAATGGATTTCTCATGGTTTTTGTTCCGTCCGGTGTGCTGCGTCCAGAACTGGAGACGGTTTTTTTAATATTGGGCCACAGCTGATATTTCTGCTTTGCAGGCTGAGTCTGGGCCTTAGGCGCGGAACTTTCTTGTTTCTTCAAGCTCTCATAGCTTTTCTGCAGATGAAGTCAGCTCAGCGCCTTCGCTAACATTGGGATTGACTAAAGAAATGTCTTCACCTTTGGTGAGGTGCTTCTTGCGATGATATTATTAAGACCCGCGAAGATTTCAGCCTCGGGAGGAGCGGGTTCAACAGCTATCATGATGAGGGAGGCGGACGCCGACTTTTCCTATCTAAGTCTGTGGTGCGCCAAAGTTGTGAATGAGAAGTTTCTCCCAGGTGCCAAACAGATTTCTCATGATCCGCGGGAGTACTTATGGTAATATTTTGCCCCCACCCCTGATATCAGCGTCCTGAAAGTTCGTATTAATATCTCAAACCGCTAACTGTTTTGGGGACAGTCACTCATTAATCCGGACGTCAAAGTTGTCAAGACTTGCTTAGGCCGGCGGCGAAGGCAAGCCTAGCTCGCGGTTCAGGGGTTCATCACCCAGAGCCTTCAAATGTTGCTCCACTAGTTGCAACATGCATGTGTCTCCAGGATCCATGTTCCTTTGATACGCTACTCAAATCGTTTCCAATGTCGCTGTCACTGCTTCGACAGATGAAGATATGAAACCTTTCCGAAATGATTTTCATTTCAATGTATGAAGAATATGCCGATGATTCATCCAGCAAGCTCTCTCGTGGAGGGAACCCGTGAGCGCTTCACCTCTCTGGAACTCGAAGAGCCCTTCCACACAGAATTCTGATTCTCGTTTGGCCCGCAGAATACACTTTAGTTGATGGCCGCAATACCATGACGCACGAAATATGCACGTTGATGGCTTCTCATCAATGTCCTCATGGCCCTTGATCCTTTCGACGAACCCAAATGATGTGCACTTGCAAGGTGCGCACTATTTTGACATGATTATGGATCCGACGGAGTGCAAGCGGCTCAGCCGTCTATCAATCTGTTCATCAGCCCGCAGATACTGCTGCCCTGTCAGACATTGATCCCTGCTAAGCCTTTCCACTCATATCCGTTGACATCTGGAGCTCCCAAGCCGTCTTAGCCCAAAAAGAACTTAGCCGGCGTGTTTCATACTTTTGCCCAATTAAGTGTGTATCAACCCGAATTGCGACAGAAGACCTTCTCTTTTCTCTCATGAACCCCGCATTTCTTCGTTAGCTCTTTTCGGAACGCCATTATCCCAAGCTCAATCGCGGGAAGGTTTAATGAACTTGACATGATTCACAAAACTTCAATGCGAAACGGATACTACTGTCTACTGATGGCAAAACAGAATCTTAGACTTTGTTCTGAGTGTCTTTTCCGGAAGTGCATCCGGAAGACAACTATTACCGTTGGAACGGGGGTTTGTTGTCCTCCGTACGTTTTGTCCAATCCCGAGTGATACCGATAAGAGAGCACTAGCCTCACTCTGACCTTCGGCCAGAGGTTCTAGCCCAGACGCTTCCCAGGTTGTGGAGAAATGCCATCAACCATTATCTGACACGGACGATCAAACAGGAGCCCACCAGCCTATATTAGGACAAACCAACAAAGCCGCGTGGTTATTATTGGTGAGGGAGTCCTGAATTCCCCGCAGCTGCTCTGCTGATCCGCCCTCATTCTTCCCAGTTGAGTCTGTACACATCAAGCAAAGAAGCGTGCTTCTCGTGGCTGGCCCGGTAGAACGCTGACTTTTGACGACATTCATGATCCCAGACGAAGCACGTCTTCTATAGTTAGTAGTATTATTGATCTTTGGCATTATGCCGAACATAGAGACGTAGAGCATGGGTCAAACTCAAGGGACTCTGGACAAACAAAGCCACGATGCCCTCGACTCAAGTTGAAAGCGAAGTTTGAATCACGATAGACCTCGACGTTTGACGAGTACCTCCAAAACGAACACCTCTCTTGGGCTTCGCTGTACTGCGGCATACTGGGTTGTCAATGGGACTACTTGAGCCGTCAGGCTCCTGTTTGAGGATGTCTTGACCCGAGTCGCAGTGCCAGAAAAGAGGATGCCAGGCGTCTTCGGTCACTCACGATCGCTAGTTCGTGTGGCTGGACGCGAGAGACTTTGAACATAGTTCTCTCGCCTCCACTATCCGGCCAAACTCAACCCAGTTTTGCACGTTCCGCTCGTTTGGAAGTTTGGGTTCGATGCAGTTGATAAAATTGATGTGCAAGGATTCGTGCAGGAGACTAAAAAGAGCGTCTCAGGTGTCAAAAACGAGACGAACAGGAACCTAATTGCCTTGGGACCTGCTTTTCTACCCCGACGAAGTCTTGCGATTCTTGCTGAGTGGCTGTCGCAGGCAGGGTATATAAGTTGCTGCAGGCGCGCAAAGGAAAAAGCAACCAAGCGAAAAGCCAATATTCTTGTTGATCCAACAGCTGATGGAAACTCGAACGAGAAGGCGGCCGAACTGCTCAGCTCGGGACAGTGCCGTTTTTTCTCCCCGAAGGGCGGCTGTCATCGCGGTTCTCAGCGACAAGCAAGCAAACAAACAAGCATACACTGGCCACGATGTCATGCCATCCTTGATCCCTTCACGATCTTGTCTTAATATATCGCAAAGTGTCAATACTATGGGTTTGTGCGCAGCAGGCAGCCCATGGACAGGCCTCGTGGCACCGAAGCATGGATCCCTCTCTACAGGGGCCCCTTGTCGTGCCTGACATACGGGAACGGTTCCCCTTCAACAAGGACCAAGGAGCCGTGGGATAGTCTAAACGGCTTGCCGGGCCTTGAGTCCTGACATCGAAGGACACCCTCGCCTGAAGACTGAAAGCCATGGTTATTTCCAGCGAGGGCTTGTCCCGGCCTTCCAAGGCAATCACCCATGAATGAACCATGCTCTTCTCAAGTTCACGGCGACCCTCCTGCGTCGAAAACGCCGTGAAATGCCGAGGGAAGATAGTAACGAGTGGCAGCGACCCAGACTTCGGCAAGGAGGATTATCTCTCGAGCTAACATCCATCTCGCGGCGTGAGGGGAAGCTTTGCGCTTGAGTTCGCTAAGTTCAGCTAGTCCGTTACGGCGACCAGCCTCTTAAACAGCCACAAACTTCTGCTGGATAAGACATAATTTCTTTTTTAGCTACCTGCTGCATGTGAAGTTGCAGAAATAAATGCTTCTCTCTCAGATTGCTGCTATCGGGATCTTTGCTCAACAACTAGATAACTCCGGATGACCCCGCTGATCCAGCCACCAACTGCGAACACGAGTTGTCAACTCATTCAAGATGCATATGGGCACGGTTGATCCTCCGTAAACATGTATCTTTTCATTAATCTCCATAAGTGCCATGTTCTGCCATGCAACACTCCTTGATATCACAGTTGACAGGCGTCCGTGCGCCCACCCTTTCTTCAAGAATCGTAATATGCGCCCGGTCTTATGAGTATGGATAACATCGACTCTGCGGCCGCTCGTCCGGTTGGCCCCTTTTTACCCTGCAAAATCTGGGGTAAAGTGGCGACAATCACTTCTCCTTTCTGCTTCCTTTTTCCCGGAGGGCAGCCGGCAAGACGAATCTGAAGAGAGCCACCGCAAAAAAGGAGGGTTGGACGACCGGGTAAACGAGAAGTAGTCCAGGTAATTGGTTTGTCAAACGAGCCGATGGTGTGCAGCGAAGCCTTTGGCGTCCCACAGCCTTCGAGAACGGACGACCCGGAGCAGACGGGTGCCTGGCGCAGGCGGGTTTTGACTACGCGGCCACGCTGGACAAGCTCTCCTTCGACGGTTTGATCCTCTCGCCGGAAAGGGGCGCCGTCGGCTTCTCGCCTCCTTCTCGTTAAACTAGCCAGGCTCAGGATTTACCTTTTTCAACTGGAATCTTCGCCAACACGTGGAAGGATTTCACCATCAATTTTCCACTTGGCGTAGTACGGAGTAGACCGTTGAGAAAACCGGGGCCCGCGGAGCAGAAAGGCCTTGCAAACGCATAAGCGCCTGCGCTTTGACTGCGACATTGTGCTGGACAATATCACTCGCATCCTCCACGAAATCCTGGGAAAGATTGGAAGGAGCCTTGTCTGGGATGCACACGTCAAGGGCAGTGCACAGCCTTGACTCTCGGCTCTGGGTGCAGATGTTGAAACCCGTCTTCAAACCCAACCTTGCCGTCTGTCAGACAGCGCAGCCTTCTAACCAGCAGACGCTTCCTTTGGAAGTAATTGGCCACCAACGGCCTCGTATGTTAAAGGGATTTGCAATCACCGGCGTCTTTCAGCGCGAGCCGGACTTATCCACACTCGAGTCTCGTAGCTGGATGCCAAAAACCAGGGCTGAAGGGTAATCAGCCCGAACAGGAGGACATGTTTCAGTCCATAACCACCGCGGTGACTAAAAATGACATTTCTATGTCTTCTCTCCTGATTTACGGTCATGGATCGCCATTCTTTTTCTTCTCAGCCCATTTCTGGGTCGCGTGGGAATTCCCAGCCTGAGCCAACTTGATTTCGCTGGTTTGCTTCTCATAATCATTATGATTGGCAAGCGGCCGTTTCAAAGCGCCACCTCATGGTGAGGCTTCAGCCAGCTCCACGCTTCGTAGTAAGCGGCTTCATGGCGTGCAGGAAGGGAAGCGTAAGATCGAAAAAGGGCATTTCTTGCATGGCAAATCTTGCTCTGTTGTGGAAGCTCGACAGCCTCAAATAGGGAATAGTGAAAACAAAAGGCATGGATCTCCACCGTAATTCAGTGATTTGAACGGCGAGCCGTATTTCTGGAGCTTGATCTTCACAAGTTCTCCCCTTCAGCCTCCGGCGTTCATGAAGAACTCCGGCAGTCTCGCGAATTGTCGTCTGTAAGATGGGCTCGACTCCACTGGCGCTCGTTCGGTCCACCTTTTTCTAAGACAAGCAGCTCTATCGAAGTTTATCACCATCCGCAAAAGGGCCCCGTGATCAACTGATAATCGACAGCCAAGGGCGTTTTCCAGCAACGTGGGGAAAGGAAGACTATCCCTCTTCGTCGTCATCCTTCTCTCAAGCTTCTGGACATCAAAGATTGTCATCCAGGCCGACACTGAGCAGTGAGGATTCACAGGAATGTTGTCCGCAATCGTTGTTCATTATTATTCCTCCGAACCAGCTAGCTCCGAGCTTCTCTCACCGCTTCTTCACTGGCCTGCTGATCACGGTCCTCCAGGTCAACTTGGCGTGGTTATCATTGTCTCCGAAAAGTCCCGCCGGCTGTACCCCAAAATGTAGTGATTCAGGCCGTGGGACTGGGCACTCTGGCGATGGGAACAATTGAATCGAAAGAGAGAGAGGGCATGTTCGTATCGATTCGGCCGTTTTTTTTCCAGTCGTTCGGACAATTGTGTCGTTCGTGTCAAGGGTTCTGTTGGGAAACTAGGCCAGATGGATGGTTAGCCTCACATCCCAGTGCGCATCTGACAGCTGTCGACAAGGATCAAAAGACCGGGAATCTGCGTTGACAGGCCACGCAGTGCGTCGTCCCCCCCCATGGCCCATGGCGACCCTCGCTTCCCCGCTGTGCTGTCAAAACCGCGCAGCCCCAGTCGCCTCTCGTCCAACCTGCTGCAGGTACAACGCCGTGCACGAACAGACGCCTTGGCGAACGAGTGATTCATGTGAGCGAACGCTTTTGGAAAGCGGATCAAGTCGACGCAGAAACCGTCCCTGCGAAGCGTTGGGAACCCAGGGAGCAAAAGGATGGGATGGAGTGCATGCGCTCCCTGTCCCCTTGCGTTGCTCCCTGTTCGCCTCATGACCGGGACCGGTTCCGTTTCGAATGCACTCGCTGAACCTGTCTGGCCTGGCATGTCTGCAGGTGTCAGAAACCTGCTCAAGAAGAAAAGGAGCGAAAATCTGCGAGACACCTTGCATATATGCAAATGCCTCGAAAGTCTGGCAATTCCCTCGGTCAAGAGGAGATTATCCCAGTCAAAATACATGTGAGGCCTACAGAGCAAGAGAGGAGAATGATGAAAGCAGTGATTCCATTCTAGACAGAAACCATACATCATTGCAAGACAGCAAAAAAGAAGTTAACCAGAGAAACTGAGGCCATCCTTGAGGTTTGCCCATTCAACATGCACCAACGCCTTGAAAATTGGATAACTGGCACCACCTAGCACCATATCGCCGTCTCTAACCCAGCCTCGAATCCGGATATCACACCAGTTATTTGTTTATTGCCCGCAAGTTTCCTTCTGCTTGGGCATGGTCTTGAGCCACTGCAAACATACCGGTCTATCAAGGAAGAGAGCCGAGCTTTCTTTCTTTTCCACCTTTCCTGTCTTTGGATCAAGTTGAAAAGACTTGATGCTATTCGAATTGTGTCCCTCAATGATCATCCACTCTCCATCTGGGTGGATGGAGAAATGTCTGATGTTCACGACTCCGCCGTTGAAGATTTCTAGGAGCTTCAAACGGCCGGATGACGCATCGATTTCGTAAGATGCAATCGAGTTTGCGTTTGGAAACACGGTGTCGAGTCTGTTCGATACATAGAGAAATTTCCCATTGGGGTGGACGATGACCTCACCCGCTGCTGGGCCCTGTGGATTGGGATATTTCTCTGGTAGGGTAGAAATGGATTGGATTTCCTTGAAGTTGAGCTCCTTATCAGTTTGCTCGACTGAAAAAGCAGTCACAGTGTTGGACAGTTCACCAACGACATAGAAGAACTTTGGTGTACCGTCTGCCGGATAGAAAACAGCATGGCGTGGACCGGTACCAGGCTTAATCTGTACTGCACTGGTCTGGGTCAAGTCATTTCCGGGCCCGACGGTGTATCTGCGGATAAGGTCAGCACCCAGGTCCGGCACCACGACGAATTTTCCCGTGGGATCGAAAAGCGCTTGGTGTGGGTGTGGTGCCTCCTGTCGCTTCGGGACAGCACCTGGCTGTGACAACGTGTACTGCCATGCTTTAACCCAGTTAACTTCCCCTGTAGATGCATTTATGGTAAACGCAGATACGCTCGCAGAGCCGCTGAACGATTATTAGCGTCAATGTTCAAATAAGTAACTAGACGAACACAACCAACAAGGACGTCATTGAGTCACACAAGGGAAACAGGAACATACTAATTCGCCGTGAAAATCAGCGTCTTGTTCGGGCTAATCGCCAAATGCACTGGTAGGGGCATCCCAAGCGCTGTTGAAACCTTGCGGAGCTGTCCATCAGGCTGGATAGCGTAGCTTGTGATGCCGCCCTTTTCCTTTTCCTTCTGGTTCGTCTCCTCGACTGTATAGAGGAACTTTTCATCTGCCGAAATCTCTTGCCACGATGGCGACGGCGCGGAACCGTTGTTCGTGAACAGCTGGGTGAGGGCGCCTGTTTCGTTGTTGAACTGGATTGTGGTGATACTTCCTCCATATGTACCCACGAAAGCCAACTGCGCCATAATTGATGGGAGAAATAACGGAATAAGAAGTGCTGACTTCATCGCCAGCATGGATGGAAAAATAATCGGAACTTCGTGTTGGGGCGAAGAAGGTGGCGGGAAGGTAGGCCTTGCAATTCAGGGCGCCAAACACAAAATACTCGGCGGCTATTATCAAGGGCGAATTCTAACGGCAAGGGCTCTAAAAGGTGTAGAAGCTGACGTAGAGGCCAAATATTTGCTCAAGGGTATATGGGTCTTTGCATGAAGTGTATGCTGTTGAAAAAGCCTGCTTGGTGCAGCAAATTATATGCAGTTCGCGCAACCTGAAGCGGTGAAATATCAAGGATGCAGTGATGGCACGTTTCAAAAGAGAAAGTTGTTCAACAACATTCACTTTCTGCTGTGTAATCACCTTCTTTAAGAGCAGAAGGAAAAAAGCAGTGACTGGGCCCTGGCTTCAGGAAAGGAAGCGCGCTTTAAGTGGAAATACCCGCAGACTCAAAGATTCTCGAGGGAGGTGACAGGTCAATAAGGCCGTGTTGTGTTGTTTCATCTGCACACCATTCATTGACAGCGATTGGCGATCTCCCCATCAACCGCCGTGTTTCCAATGGCCTGGCGGTGAAAGCGTTTCACAGTTTGACGCCAATGAATGCTGTTCAATCAGGGCTGTCAGATACTAGAGCTCATTGTGAAGTTAGATGAGAAATTCCTGTGAACCAACAAAGCTCTAAAATCATGTATTGTGACGTGAGATGTTAGTAGTTCGTGAACTACTCAACTAGATAACTGCTCTATGGACTACCTGGGCTGAATCTCACTAGCTGCCCCATGAATGCATTCAATAGGCCTATTGTAGACAAGAACAATATATCAATGAATATTAAATTTAACTTATACGACAGATTACCACATGGTGCCTCCAAAACTATCCATTAAAAGTCCACACGAGCAGAGAGAGAGAGAGAGGAGAAGTATGATTGTCGCCAAGCTCAGGTTAGAATCAGGTCAAGAATAAAACAAAAAGCTGTTATCGTGGCAGGCCTAGTATGCAGATGTCAGAAAGCCCGGTAGTAAGCAGCCTGTTTGTCTCCTTTGCGTACCATTTATAGATCTCGCGATCGTGAGATACGACTGCGGTTGGTAGATTCCCGACACAAGCCACCTGTTGGTGTTTGCATAGGCCGGCCAAACATAGCTGTTCAACAGAGGATATGGCCACAGCGCTTGCCAAATGGTTCGATATCGTACAGGCCATCCTAGCATCATGGCGTGTTCTATCCGCCTCGACGGGGATGACAAAATCGGCACCGGCTGCATAGATAAACAGGATAATAGACTGTACCCTCGGGAGGGCAAACGTAGCGGTTCCCGCAACGATGAAGGGGACCCCAGCTTCTATGACCGCAAGTATGAACGTAATATGCCTTTTGACACATGGACACTTCCAAACGAAGGTGATCAGTGTAAAATCAAAAGAGAAAGCTTTTGGACCGTAACGACTGAATGTATAGTCAAGTAACTCGGCGTTTAGGACGAAGTGGACAGCAGTACCGTCTGGCTTCAAGCTCGGTGGAGGACGTGAAGTGAGTCCGGACGTTTTATACCTATATTAGTGCAAGACAACGCGTCAGAAATAGACCGCTTTGATGCCTTTCCATTCAATCCTCTGGCTAACTGCAGGATATGGCCATGTAAAAAAGCCGACATATATGGGGAAAAAAGGCCGGCTTCGAAACCTTCATTACTGAAGTCAGCTATCTTTGGGCATGAACTCCAACGCAAGTGCAAGAGTGAGGCGAACCCTTTCGGATAGTGATGGCTAGAAAAGCAGGACAAGGAGTTTTTCTTGCAGCGGATGGAAAAAGGGATGGTACAAACAATTCCCTTCCTTGGACATGGAACTAGGGATGTTGCTCGAAGGCGAGTTGCTGCCTTCACAGAACTCCGTTCGTTTTCGGTAACGGGCAATCGCATATCCCCGTGCTTAGTGAGAAGGCATCAATGGATGCCATGCATTCCCGAAGCGGCTGTAGTTGCACTGTTAAATTTGGAATCCGACTCGAGATAGGTTGGAAGTCATTGCCGATGATTGCTGGAAGATTGGTTTGGGAAACAACCCACATGTTCATTTCCAAAACCACAGGCCCGCGTACAAATACATACGATCTTAAGCCGCTTACAACGTCTTCAAGAGCGATCTCGTGAAAGATCGAGCGCTCCAACCTCGGAATGCTGGATCTTGCTCGACGCAAACGCAGTATTGTCATGTAAGGGTGTGTGAAGAAGATAGAAGCATATGAAGAAGACTCAACGTGGCCAATGGATGCGTTAGGTAGCAGAGCTCTGTGCCACCACGGCAGCCAATTCAGTGTGATTCGCAGCCTTGTAGAAGCGTTGGATAGAACAATGCCCTGTTTGTGCAACAGAAAAAAAGTTCTTTACCGACACATTATGCATCTCTCGAGGCAAGCTGCGTGCCCATGCGCTTGCAGCCGGAGACTAGGTTTATAGGAATACATGATGCCGATGCTATTGGGCTCACTTGGCAGACCGTAGCTTGGCTTCTTCAGCTGCAGTGTCTGTGAGATCATGAAGGATAATAGTGCAAGACCATATGCCAACAGGTGCAGTGAGAACAGGTCAACAGCGGAATCTGCTCTGCCTCCTCTGCTGCTCTGCTTGCGTCAGGGGGACAGTGGCGCAGGGACGGCCGCCAAGTCGAGACGCTGCGACTTTCGGAACCGGAGGTCAAGTGCAAGGGACCCCTCTGCTCAAAGAAAAGCCGTCCGAGAAAGAATATAGAGAAGAGAGTAACTCTCCTATAAAGCGCATTTCCGCATTCAGATGCATCTTGCGGCTTTCCTTGGGCCTAAAACCACTCGCTGTACGCGCGCTTGGCAAATGAAGCATTGTCGAAGTCCGATGCTTGTCCTTAGCAGACGCAGTGTTGGCAAGGTAGTTATCCGACGATGAAGAATCCGCCCGTAACGAAAGGGCTCGGGATCATGTTAGTTAAATAATCATCCTCACTACACCGCACATCTGGTTATGAGCCCGAGGCGGAAAGCCGAGCGTTGCCATCTGAAGTCAACGGCCCAGGCCCCGGATAGATCGTATCCGTCTGTAGAATTCCTCCTAGCTTAGAAGAGAGTTAGAAGATGAAAAGAAGATCAAACATTACAGAGTGGGACGTGTGCCTGGCGGTCACTCCGCCACTTTGGAGTCGGGGGCGCGGTGAGGCAGAGAGGGATTATCAACGCCCCATACCGATCAAGACAGCAAGAGAATCGGTTGCTCTGCCAGCGGCAAAAGAGGCAAGCCGGCAAAGAGGGCCTGAAGCTCGGTTCGTTGGGTGATGCAGCGTTGGACTGGAGGCAGAGGAAAAGAAAAGTTCGTGGTTGAATCTGCTGCGCCTTCGAGTCTTTGACCAAAACGGGGCTTGTCCTGACGTCGAGCGAGGCTCATTCCTCTCCATCATCAACTCAACGCATCCCAACACAGCTCGCAAGCTACAAAACTGTCGCAGCCGCCTCCAGGCTAAGCTGAATTTTCTCGCTGCGGTTTGATTTGCCACATATCGCAAAGGAGATCCTGCTTATAACTCCCCTGGTCCTCCATCCTCTGCATTCTCTTGCCATTCCCCCTCACAGCTCCTCACCACGTCTGAGACACCGGAATCTTCATATTCTCTCGATCCTAGGTCCTCCTCTGAGCCATATTCGATCTTGAAATGTCTTCGTCGCCTTCTTTTGCAGCACGGCGCGCCGCCCGCAGCGGTTCAACCTCGACCTCCCATACCCCTCTCTCCCTCGATCTCTCCAGCCTTCCACCACTCTCGCAGCCTTCTCCGCCCTCAAATACTCTCCTCATAACGGACCTGCAGAACTTGAAACTCTTCCAGCCAGATTCTCTTGCGCAGATCAAATCCCACATCACTACCGTCGCTCCGCTCAACTCATTCTCCCCGCTCCCGTCCCTCCGACGTATAGTCTGTTCTTTCCACACAATCGACGCAGCCATCCAGACTCGCCAATCCCTCGAGAATTCGGCAGTCCTAGGCCACAATGTCCGTCCAAGGATCTATTTTGGTGAACACACGCCGGTGGAAGACGTCGAACAGGTGAAGAAAAGAAAACTCCTCGAGGCGCCCCATCCAGACAAGTTGTTCTTTATCAGCCCCCCTCCGAGTCCACCTCACGGTTGGATCTTACGCAACGAAGAGCCTCCAAACAAGGAAGTTCACGCTGCAGATTTGGCAGACGCTTTGAGTAGATTGGGAAGATCCCACAGTTCTCCCGTCATGCCTGAGACACCGGGGTCGATGGCCGATGTGTCAATGCACGACGTTGCCCACGAGAGCTTTCGAACATCGTCAAAGGCCATGCCGTTTACATTGCAGCAGCGGAGTCGAAGCAGCACTCTAATCTACCATCCAGAGGATCACGGGAGCAGCCCGCATCTACCCGCTGTCATGGTGGAAGACACCACCATTGACGCCGATGAACTAGACTCGGAGATGGAGATCAGCCCTATCGAGGCTTCACGAAGAATATTGGCACATACTTCGCGGCCACCTGTGGAGCTCATGCACTAGCCTCTTGCCGAGCGTCTCTTGGTTTTATTTCTTTTGGGCATTTATTCCTACTGCATTACAAATTCTACTGTTGTTGAGCGTTTCTCTTCGTTTTGGCTGTTGCCACCCCTTGAGGGATCTGCCACGTTGGCTTTTTTTGTATATGTATCGGCGTTGTTGGTTTGTCTTGATTAACGCAAGGGGCATTTTTGATATTTGGTTGTCAACAGTGCAGTTGGAGAGCCATGGTTCCAATTTCCCATTTCCAGGTTAGAAAAGAATGCTAAACAAATGATTACGGTCATAAGAATTGACCGACTGAACCTGTGTCTATTATACGCTTTCTATCTAATATTATTTCTGTCAGATCATATCTCCTGTAGCAAGGTAGATCGGATATTTTTTTTAATATCATTTTTTCCCTCAAGAGTCAACCCGACAACGCAACCAATCGATTCCTCCTTACAATCGCTTCCGCATATGAACCTCAACCGCCCGCAGTGGCAAATACAACAAAGCACTCAAACCCAGCGCAACCTCGAACCCAATGTCCCCGGTCTTCTTCGCGATCGGGCCTACATACCACGTTTGCGACATGCACGGGATAACCAAGGCGAACGATAAAAGCCCCGCCGCCAACGCCGACACGCCGCTGGGCAATGCAGACCCGACATTCCAAATCGTCGGGTCATACGAGCCATATCTGCCCTTGCGGAATACAAGATGTTCAACGGTGACGATGGAGAAGAAGGCTGCGGACCAGTACGCGATGACGCCGATAAAGTTTTCAAGGGAGAGGAAGAAACTGGCTGCGGCGCGGATGGAGACGGGGATGATTATGGCGATGAAGACGAGAGCGAAGAGGGCGCGGGGGACGCGGACGAGGATTGGGAGGAGGATCTGGAAGTTGAGTGTGATGGAGTATATGGTCGCGGCTATGTTGCCCAAGGTCGAAAATGCGAGAAGCACGGTGATGAATTTGCCAAAGCCACCGGCCGAAGAGAGCATTGCGGCGAATATGCCGCCGACAGATCCACTTTTGTAGGCTTTTGCCCAGTCTGGGACGTTGGGGACTGCTCCGCCGATTGCGGCTCCGAGGATCATGAGTGGGACAGTAGGAACGAAAAGGCCCAGGTAGACATAGGAGAAGATACGTTTGCTAAGCTCGAAAAATTAGTGGCCCACACAGGCTGGAATGAAGGTCATGGAATGGTTGGCCTGTACGTACGAAGAAATATCAGGTGAAATGTATGTGCAAAAGTCGGAACTGAGGGCTGCCCAGGGAATGAGGAAGCCAGCAATTAGACCACCAAAGGACAACACCGCTGGCGCTGAAGCTGGAGGCGCATCGGCCTGCTTGCTGAGATGCTTGCCTCCGCAACCAGTCGCAATAATGATGCTGACCAGGATAGGTATCCAGCCGTAACGTTCATACCGATGCAGAACTCTATACCCAAAGAACGATATAAACAGAGCAATAACAGCTACGACTGCGATTCCAACGTTGACACTGACGCCGCCGCCGTCATTTAAAGCCGAAAGAGTTTGGCCGCCAATTACGCAGTCGATGATGGTGAATCCCGAAACTGTCGCAAGGTTCAACAACACGAGAATGTTGACTAGGTATATTCTATGACCCAGAATAATCAGTTTCCCTGCCCAAGACACAGCCTGCCACAATGAACGAACCCAAAAGTATAACGAGCTTGTATCATCTGCCGAAGGCCAGTTTTCGGACCTAGAATCGAGAGATATGCTGGAGGAATGGTGCAGAGCAAATTGAAAAAGATGATTACGAGACTAGCATCCCGCAAGCCGAGACCGAAGCTGAGCGTTCCCACCATACCGGTGATGACTCTATGCAGCAACAAAGGTCAGCATGCAAACATCCTTTAAAAATGAGCAAATAAAAAAAACAGCATACGGCAATAGGTTGCAGCTGACAGTGAACCACAAAAGGAAAACATTGCCTGCCCGCTTGTCTGTTCGCTCATCCACGCTAATCGGGACAATTCCCCGAAGCTCAACACCCCATGTCGCAAGCCGGTGCCAGAATGACTGGCAAAATCTCAATAACGGCGGATCTTTTTCCTTCGGCGGCTGGACAGGCGTTCGTTGGACGGCTGGCTGCGTCTCGCCATCTTTCTCTATATCTCTCACACTGGGACTTGGCTTTGAAGCTGACTGATCGAGACTCATATTTGTTAACCAGAGAAGGATCTCCAAAAGAAACGAATGGCGGCCGGGACAGCACCGGTTCAACTTCGCATCCCGAACTGTTTTTGACTGTCGCGGGGTTTCGGCGTCGGAGCTCTTATCTTATCAGTCGGAGTTTTTCCACAAGTTTAAGCTTTTCGGAACTATTTCACGTGATAATCCCGTCTTGGCTAAAAAAGCCTGCTGTGTGTCAGTCACTCAAGGAAGAACGATCAATATCTGTCTATTAGGAAGTAAGGAAGCCGGCAATTCGTAGTCCAGATGTGGAAACGGTCCAAAATCTTGCATTCAATTGGCTTAAGATACCTGGTATGCATATAGGAAAGCGTGTACACCAAGGCATATATACTCCATTAAAAATGCTGTCAAACGAGCGCGTCGAACACTGTCTTGCAACTGATAGCGTGGTATGCAAAGGTGTAAGTTCTATCCAGAGGCAAACAGCACCACAGCAGAGTTGGTCATCACTTTCGGGCCCAGGGTGGCAGCAAGCTCGGCGATAATGCCTTTGATTGCATGAGGGTTCTTGATATCTGAACTCTCCCATCCGACCAAGTCCTGATAATTTAGAATGGTTAATATAGTTTCCAAGAATTTGAAGTGACGGGAGCAGCTTGAACTCACGGTCATTTCTACTAGGGAGTTATGCACAAGTAAACGACAGTGATCAAGATCAACTTGGGCTTTGAGCTCATCTAATGTCAAAACCCCCGGCATATCGATATCGAAGAGAGACATATCTTCTTCATCGGGGAGGATGAAATTATCTTCCGGTCTAGTCATTTGATCTTCGCCGACTTGCGATCCCGAGAAAGGACACGTATCTTCGCTTATTGAGCTTCTCAACGTAACAATCTGTAGAGGGATCCCAAGAAAGAGATTCGGGGTCTGTAATCGACAGAACTGTGAGTGAGGGCATTTTACATAGAGGGTTAATCTGCATCGCACCTAATAGGTACTGAGGCCGAAACATCGCTTTGTATCGCATTTTGGGACACGAATGTATGTAGAATCCTGCATTGCGCCGTCAGAAGTCTGGTCGAAGAAAGAGACAAGCACCTGGGCTAGGCATACCCATGTAATAGTATTGATGCTGACTCTCGAGTGCTAATGCGATTTCCCTCATGGCACTTAGTTTCCCAAATTCCCAGTGTTCGTATTTCGGATCATAACTATGAAGATTAGCATTTGTGAGGAGCTTGATATTCTGCTTTGGAAACGCACTAGAGATAAACCGAACTAATACCATGCGGTAACATATCAAGAACGCCGACAGCAATAAGTTGTCCGTCGAGTCGGTAGCACTGGTGGTATGACCCCAATTTTTGCTCCTTACCACCTTGCCGCACTGTCTTGCGGCCAATACCGGAGCAAAGAAAGCGTTTATAGTCTGACTGTTTCCACCTATCCTCAGGGTCTTTATGCACCTTGGTTTGATAGTCCAAAAAGACAGAATACCTAAATAATGTAAGCAATCGTTCAAAGCATGACTGACAGTACTATAACCAACTTCGTTAACGAGGATGAATCGGATTCGATATTCACTTCAAATTTATGTGCCGGTTCAATTGGCCGTTTTGTTCTCGGGTCAATTGGTCGCTGCAGCTGGCTATATTCCGCCTCGTGAACCCGTTGCTTTAGATCAAAGGTATGTTTGCGATATCTCTTTTCCCTAGCAACCACCATCAGTGACTCGTTGAGTCTCACCAGGAGCAGCTCTTAGGAGAAAGTAAAATTGCATACTCCCTTGTCTTAGGACAAAGTCTAGCCGCCTGTCGGATATACTCTTGGCCAAGCACAAATGCGTTCCAGCGGTTGAGGGCCTTCTTCTGGTCTCTTCTAGGTTTATATGCACTCGCTTCTAACCTGAATTGCTCTATCAGTCCAAGATGACCCCAAACCGTTGACCATAATTAAAGCGGGATACACCAACCTCATTGTGTAATGGGGGCAGCATGATCGCTCCAAATTCGGTTTATAGTAAAGAGTACCGGATCTAGCGGACTTTAGCAAGAAAGGAAATTCAGCAGAGTTTGAAGCAAATGCTGGGCAACCTCACCTTCTCCATCCTCTGTTTATAAGGTCCTCGTATTCTTCCACACGAACGGAGGTCGATGATGCATAATAGCTAGCGCCTGTTCAACAATGCCCTCCGTGTCAGAGCCTAATTATGTTAAGGGGATATACATGGCTTCTGTCTACTGACTTCCGTTTTCGCTTTTGCAATAGCCACACTCATGACGTTGATATCCTAGGGGGAATAGGTCAGCTGCCAACGATTTGCGTCATAAGAGCTTTTAGAATGCAGCTGTGGAGCCAAAAAAAAAGGGTAATATAGCAACTATATTTATAGCGACATCACGGCAATCACTCTTGCATGGGACGGAGGAGATAGCACGTGGGGATGCACACAGGATTCATTTTCGAATGCGGAAGAGCCAAGTTTACCTCGAGGAGCAAAAAAGGACAATTGGCCGGACTGAACTTCGTTTAAAGCAGCCATTTTTTCAATCAAGATGCAGCCAATTGAAGCACCAAAACTTGGTGTTTTGAAAGGAATAGCGTAAGGTCTCCCGGGGCAATTTGGATGCAAACACGGAGAATGACTGTGAGACTTAGCAAAGAGAAAGCAAATGCCTTAATAAAAGTTCTATTATTATCAAACGCAGGCTATGTGTTAGAATGCAATCTGAAGCCCATGAGATGCATGAGATGCACTTTGATATGATGTCGCTTGGCCCAGTGGGTGACTAAGCGAGATTGGGTTGTTTTAGCGCTCCTTGGCACTTTTTGTACAGGAACAGCCAAATGAATACATGGATGCCATAAGCTACCCCTCACTTGCAATTCACAGTCAACAATCAGCACATCGATTGAGGCTTTGACGACATCGGGCGGGCTGCCTGTTGTTTGACGCGGAATTCGCAGCAATGCTGAGGACCGAATTTACGAGAAACCAAGCAGTACGGAGTATAATGCATATTATGCGGCATGACAGAGCCTGTGCTGACGTAGAAGACATGATTATTTCAGGGCGATTTGAAGGAAAGAGAGAAAGAACCCCGGACGGTCTCCGCATTTTCCAACAGAAAATCTCCCTGGCTATCCTGAAGATTTAAGCATAAAAGATCAGAATCATCGGCGTAGTTGGGACGCTGGCGAACCTTGCTGGAGGCCACATGGCCAAATACTTAGCACTCATTGCTGGAGCTTTACCAACGGAGAGCGGGATTGCGAAGTCTTGGTTTGGAAGAGATGAAAAGGAATCCGCAGACCGGGGTTGGGTTTTAGTAGGGCGGCAGGGATCGGAGGCAGGCTTTGCTTCCGGAAACGTTCTGGTGGGATTAGATCTGTTGAGACAACTCCAGATACCAAGCTGATTATACACTCGGCGGAGAGGGAATTTGGGTGTTCAGAGGGCTGCCAAACAGTGGATTGGCTGCCCTGAGGTGCCCGATCTGTTAGGTCCACTTCATTTATGTGCATCAACAGGGAGGTATCATAATTAAATGTAAGCTCTGTATGGAGTAGGAGCTTGTCAACTCCGATCTGAAAGAGCCAAGAGGAAAAAGAAAGCCTTTGTCCCGCATGCATGCGCAGAGCCTGATATCAGAATGGTAGCGCCCGGAGATCCTCCTCGGTCGTTTTATTTCGAGCATATGGATCCAAGAGTCCGGTGCAATGCCGTTTACGTGCTCGAGTTGATAGTGATCCCGCCCATGAACGGTGCCATTAGCCAAACGGGTGTCAGCGCGCTCCGTACACCCACCCCTCTCCGCGGTGGGCCGTGCAGGATTCCTTCGTTGGCAAGATTGGCGCATTTTCTTCTTTCAATACTGAGAAGAAGTATGTCGAGGTTCTTGTTGGCATGAGGTCATTCGGCGTTTGGCAGCCTTACAGTCGGAGTACCCCGTGTAGCCACCGATATTTTAACTATGTAGCTTTGAAACTGTCAATGTATAGTTAATGGTAATTTCTTTTTTCCTTCCCTCTTCCTGTACTGCAAAAGAAGCCGCTGAGCAGTCCTGATCAGTTGATTCGATTATGGCCCAAGGCGGCTGCATCTGGGGAAAATGGTACCTCAGGGATGATGGAGCTTCTTTTTCGAAGTGAAGGGGCGCTCGAGTTTGCGTGGCATGCTGTGAGTCCAACATGCAGCTGAGTAACGGCAGATCAGAACCCCCAAGCGTTGCATGTGGCGAGATGAATGGGGGATGGCCGAGTGGAATGCGAGGTGTATGCAGCAGTTAGCTGCTCGTCGGGGGGCGTCTCATGAAGCGGGCCTCGAAACCGGGACAACTCAAAACGGCCTGTTGCCCAGCGCGTTGCCCAGAAAAGTGGCCCAGCATCGTTGATTTTCCCGGGGTTGCCTGTGGTTGGCCCGGTGAGAGCAGGAAGAGTAAAAAGCAATCATGGAAAATCTATAGAATGTTTTCCAAACGGCTTCTGCGGTGATGTGCAAATCATAAACATTACGGAGATGCTGGAGAAACCCACCGCGTATCCACAGCGTCTGAACGCAGGCGGTGAAATTGTGTGTCCATTGCAGTGACACATGGATGTGTCAATTGGCCTTGGAGCACAGCAGGCCGTCTGGGGTTCGAAAAGTCAGCTCGTCGTGGCCTTGTCACGGTGCTGGGGAACGAGCATGGTGGAATCACGGCCCCTTGGCTTACACCGTCCCGACATGGGGAGGAATCGGACCTGAGGAGGTCACATTTGACGAGCGGGAAGGAGAATGAAGTGATAAAGGAATTGTTGCAGGGAGGCCAGCCAACAGTGCTGGGGATGGCGTTGGCCCCAGTCCGTCAAGGCACAGAAGGCCCATAAATAGCTAGAGGACAACAACTAAAAGAAGCGCAGAGGAGGAAAAGTCGGGAATAAGAAGCCTAATTTTCCCCCCCGAGCGCTCCCTCTGCGCCTTATTCAGAAGCCCCCTTCCTTAAAAAAAGTCTTCTTCCCCCCCAATCCCCAGCTCACGCTTATCCCTCCCCCCCATTTATTTAATAAGATGTCTTCCTCCGCCATCATTCCAGCTCCTCCCAGGAATCATTCTCTTCCGCAGCCCCGTCCGCCGCGGAAGTGAAGGGAGCATTCAGATCCTTGAGCTTGCTTGTTTAAAAACATCCCTTTCTCTCTGCCATACTCGTCCCGTTTTCCCTCGTTCACCGGGCCTCAACAATCCGCCCTTCCCGCTCAGCATTCTGACTCTTGTTCCGTATATTTGCTGCCTGGAGTCTGCCTATCCGGCTCTTCCCTCAAGGTTTCGCCGTTTCCAGTCACCGACGTCGACAGCACTTCAGAAGTCCTTCCCATCTTTAGTCCTTGACGGCGGATCCGTGCTCTTTGTGTACCCCAAGTTAACAACCTCTGATATCGTCTCTCGAACCTCTGGAACCAGGCAGGAGAAAAACGAAAATAAATCAAAATCAAAGAATAAAAAATCCGGTTACGATCGACTCAGCCCGTCCTTGCCCGTCCGGTTTCAGCAGAATCATTGAAGCCCGGCTTCCTGTTCTTCTTTTTTTTTTCTGATTTTCTCTGGGCGATCCGCGGCGGCTTCGCAATTTGTTGGCGAAACATCACGTCCGAGAAAGCTGATACGATGGCACAAACCCGCACGATGGAGTCGCGAACTGGGCGAACAAACCAGCGTAAGTCGGTTGATGACCCTTGGTTGAAGCACGTGTCGCTTTTGTCCAATGTCCCTCGTGCCTTTGCATCCCTGTACTGCAGCCAGACTGCACCCCCATGCCTGGATGGTCACAGAAAAAGGCACACAACACACTCACTCCATGACATGGAATGTTCTTTTACGATGGAACGCCACAACCCTTGTCACTTGGTCTTCTTTTTCTCTGCTTCCCCGCTACTGTGGCCTTTTTCCTTCTCTTCGCGGGCTTGGACTGACACGATCCCTGTGCTGCATAGGTTATGCTCCGAATGGCGACAGACTCGTCGCCGGTGTCGTGCCCATTTCCCCGGATAAGTCAAAGGTTCTCTTGATACAGTCCGCGCGTCCTGGCGGATGGGTTCTCCCCAAAGGTGGGTGGGAACTGGACGAGCCGTCTGCTCAGCACGCCGCATGTCGTGAGGCGTGGGAGGAGGCCGGAGTGGTCTGTACCGTCCTGCGGGATCTCGGTGTGATTGCAGACATGCGCACGCCAGCCCAGATTACTGCAAAGGCCCCTAAGGTCCAATACCAGTTTTTCGAAGTCCGCGTTGACCGCGAAGAGGCTCAATGGCCGGAGATGCACAAGCGCAAACGGCAATGGGTCACATATGCACAGGCAGCTGCGGCTCTTACAGGCAGGCCTGAACTCTTGGAGGCCTTAAATCGGAGTTCTGTGAAGCGATAGATATCATTCGTGCCTCCGCTGCGGGCATCTTGGCTCTAGACCCGCCTCTTGGTTCTTGATCTTCTCCTCGCCTTATGTAGCTTGCATGCCACCCCCTCTCAGCTGCATTGCATGATGCAGCTCTTTCATTGCGTACGGAGAATGTCTTTTGTGAGAACGTGATCCTATATATTGGCTCACAACCTTTCGGCCTTCTTTTCACACCTATCTGCCGTCCTGATCGCTTATCCCCAAAAAGTTGAAGCATGGTGTTCATTCAGCATTTCATTTTCATGACCCGTTTAGACCATCCATTCCGGCTTCCAGTTTTTGGATACAACCCCCAATGAACCAAAGTAAAACCCATATCTGTTGCAGGAGTTAGTCGGAAAGATCTGCCTCTAACCAACAACATCTTGTTTATGTCTCACCCTGTTATGACTTTTTCATTATTTATCCACATTTTCTTGAGCATTTTTTTTTCTTTTGGGATATTACATACAACACCCACAACCCCATAGACTTGATTGTTTTTTCCCTCCGCTTTCTATTTGGTGACGTTTACATTTGGATCATTTTGCATTCAAGAACCCTCCATCGAGCGCCGGGTTTGCGCCGTCTTGTCAGCAGCCTAATATCTCATTCGGCTTGCTGCCACTATCGCGGATTTCCAACTGCACTGACCTGACTCGCTGCGAAGCCTTGGTAGCTTCCCTGGCGTCGCAGAGACGATCATCGAGAAATGAGGAGTCGTTAAGATTGCATATTGGCATTGGACTATTTACCAGCTATCTTCCACTGTATACTTTTCCTAATCAACCTCCTCTTCTCTCTCTTATTCCTATCTCTACGTTTCTATCTTTGGCCGTCGATCTATGATTGGGAAAGGATATAGAAAGGGTTGGTAATCTTGGGCACTGGGTACTAGCAATGTCGATTTTAGCGGCTCTATAGATACAGGCCTTAAAATCAAGCCGGTAATTACCATATGTACTGCTGTGACATGAATGTCTAGATGTTTACTACATACTCGGTACCTCCACACAATTTCCTCCGAGTGCTGACCTGCGCATTTGCATTGAGCCAAGATTTCCTCACCGGATATCGGTAGAATGATACGCCGGCTTATGTAACTCAGCGCCTTAGTCGAGCTCCATCACGAACTGAATGAATTGCGACGACGAGGAGTCGATATCAGAATCAACCAGGCCCCGGGGCACCTTTCTTCATCTTGGAGCATTTTATTCTATAGATACAGGCACCCCATTTTACTTTTCACCCTTACCCGAATCCCAACCGTATCGAGCATAAACAAAACTTTCCCGGAGAGAGCTTGCGGCACGCAGCTCCTCTTCACCTGCTTGCGGAGCCATGGATTTTGACGCTATGGATATTGAGCCCCAAGGGCCACAGGTCACAGTGCGAGATGTGAGATGACCTGCCGCTTCACACTTTGTGCTTGCTTGCTTGCTTGCTACTCCTAGGCACACAGGCCCCGTTTCCCTCACAGCTAACAACCCATGGAACCCCTTCAGGTCGAAACGCACCGAGTTGACTTCCGCCTCATGTCCGTCGACCTTGCCTTTGCCAACTCTCTCCGTCGCGTGATGCTCACCGAAGTGCCCACCGTTGCTATTGATGTCGTCGAGATCGAATCAAATACCTCCGTTTTGCCTGATGAATTCATCGCGCATCGGCTGGGGCTGATTCCCTTGCATTCGAAAAACTGCGACGTCGACATGGTCTACGCGCGCGACTGTGATTGCGAAGGTGGCTGCTCGCGATGCATTATTACGCTACAGCTCCATGCGAAATGTACGGGGGAAGGGGTTATGGTGGTGTACGCGCGAGATCTGGTTGTGATTGGGGACCGGGCGAATGAGTGGGTTGGGAATCCAGTGATAAATGACCCGGCTGGGAAAGGGCCGATCATTTGTAAACTGCGACGAGACCAAGAGGTTAAAATGACTTGCACAGTGAAAAAGGGAATCGCGAAGGAACACGCAAAATGGGCGCCGACAGCGGCCATTGGGTTCGAGTACGATCCGCATAATAACTTGAGACATGTGGATTATTGGTATGAAGAGGATCCGGTCAAGGAATGGTGAGTTGAGCCCGTGTTCAACCATGCGCGGTGCGGGAGTTCAACTAATAATACATAATCTACAGGCCTGTCTCCGCCAACGCAGAATGGGAACATCCCGCACCACCTGATATGCCGTTCGACTACGATGCCGCACCTTCCACTTTCTACCTCGACGTCGAAAGTATCGGCAACTTAGAACCGGACGCCATCGTTCAACAAGGAATCAGCGTCCTTCAGCGGAAACTCGCAGAAATCATATCGGCCCTGAGTGGAACTGGCGACGCCGCGGCGCGCGGAGAGGGTATGAATGGCATGGAAGTCGACGGTGGTCGGAGCCCCGATGCGTATGAACCACCAGAAGGTATTGATGGTAGCTTCAGTGCGTACGCGCCGAATGGCGTTGGAGCTGGTGCTGGAGGGCAGAGCGTATGGGGTGCTGCTGGTGGCACCACCCCATACGGGGCGACCCCGTATGGCCAGGGCTACGGATTCTAGGTAGCCTTGCCTTCAAGGACGTCTCTACTTTGGTCAAAATACCCATTTCCCATTTTTCCTTTCTTCCAGATGGAATGGGCTTTTACTCTTTTCTAGTTTTCTACCTGCAAGAATCGGCGTTTTTCAAGGGGGAAAAATTACTCGAATTTGCGGTCTGGATCTAACTTTACAGGACTTGGGGCTTGTTTTCCTCTTTCACGATTTTATGTGCTCTCTCTCTCTCTTTTTGGTTGTACTATACGTAACTGGCGTGGCGCTGTCACTGAATCTCTTACCAGGCGTTCATACTATCCTATTACTTGGCCGTCCTGGAAACGTTCGTCGAGATTTTTTCACCACCTGTGAAACCATCCCCCGACTCCCTTCCACCAGCTTCTCCAGACTTACCTCCAAACCTTTCCGACATCTTATCCGAATACCCACCAAATTTGCGCAGGCATATCCTCTTCCCCTCCCAACTCAGCCATCCCGTCTCACAATCCAATCTACGAGTTGAACGCATCAATGCTAGCCCTGAAACTCGGCGTTTGCGGTGCCGTAGCGTCTGAGGAGCCCCCGGGGGGGCGGCAAGGGCGAAGGGCAAACTTGTAGGGTTTGGTTTGATGCTGGGGCGAAAAAAACGTGACGAGCTCGTGCGGCTTGCGCTTCGCTGGAGTTGGAAACGGGGGCACTGGGCGATGCGAAATTGTGTGCGATGGAGAGGTATAGGCGAGGGAGGATGCGTCGAATTTGGCGAAGCATTGGTCGATAGTTTGAGATCGGGAGGCTGGGAGGTCTAACAGGGATATATGAATGTAGATGCTGCAATGAGTAGAAGGTCACTTGGAGGAGCTAGTACCATAAGTTGGCCAATTTACTTGAGCGTTCTCCTCCTTTTAAACATTGCTCTAGTTATTGCAGCTAGCATTGAGATTTTTTGTCAGCATCCTAGGACGCGGAATCTCCTTTGCTGGTAGTGCCATATTGTATGCGGGCTTGTTCCTCGTCTATGGATGAGAAAGCAGAGAGTTTTCTTAATTCAAATCTGTTCAAGTTACAATGATCCATTCTGGCCGGCCGCCTTCAGAGAGATAGATAGGCATATTTCCGCAACTCTCAACTTGTCAAGCGTGCCACAAGAGAACAAGAAACAAACAATAAACCCACCCCTACCAAATTTGTAGCCCATCCTGTTAAATATCCTTTTCGAATAGCGAAGATAGCTACAGGGGAGACTAGACCAGACTGCCCATACTACTATTAGCCTCAGAGAGCCCAACTCTAAGCCAAGGAAAAAAAGAAAGGGGCACTGGTATGGAGTACTTACAAAATAAAACACGGAACGTTCAAGAGTATCTAGCTCGCTCTTCTCGGTCTCCTTGAGTTGATGCCTCTGCTTCAAGATATCCAGGACCTTTGAGGCGCATTGGTCGAATTGGGCGCCGAAACGCTCAAATTGACTCTCCATATCAGCCAACTGCCGAAATTGCTCGCCTGGTGTGTTGCTCTGTTCACTTAGAGTGGCACGGTGCTCGTCAAGCTTCTGCCTTGCAGAACGAAGACTCTGATAAATCTCAACCACATGCTCAGTTATGGCGTAGGCAACTTCTTCTGGGGTACCAGGGGAGCCTAGTGATTGTTAGTTCCAGTGATATCACGGTTGATGTTTTTTTTCCTCTGTAAGCAAAAAGAAAATCATATTACCATTGGTGCTGCACAGTGAGCCATGGTTTCCCAGCTTTTGAAGGTTTTTCGTAGCCTCTTCAAGATATTGATGCCTCACTAGGTTCAATACTTTCAAAGCACAATTTTGGAACTGCACTGTGATCCGATCGATTCGCCTTTCCAAACTAGCCACATCTTGAAGCTCCTCTACCGAAGCATGGCCCTGCTCACTCAGAGCAATGAGGCGTTGCTCCAGACTTTGCCTTGCCAGATGAAGTGTTTGGTCAATCTGCAGCATTTGGGCAATGATTCTATCAGTAACCTTGTCACTGTTACAAGAGCAGGAGACTGGAGCCTGTTGGTGTCCATAGAGGAGATGAAGTCTATCTTCTTTGGCCGCAAGAGAAGGCACGCCATAACGCGAGGCAGCATGTTGTGGGGCATAGGCTTCTCTACCCGGAAGGAAAGGCATGGTGTGCAAGTTAAGGAACCGCCGAGAAAAATGAAAGAGCCGAAGGCACCAGGAGTCTGATCCCAAAGTGAGGAAGGGATGAAGAAACATGAAGGTACACCTTACAACAGAAATGTGAAGTAACATTTCACTTCTGGAACCTCAGAGCCTGGTTGCTCCGCAACCAGATGTGACGGAATCTACCTTTCATTTTGATAACAATGGTATTTTGTTATCAAAACCAGGGGGTAGGGGAGGGTCATGCTGAATTGCAGCCCCTTAAAAGGGTGACTTGCAGGAGAAAGGATATCCCATGTCCAAGAAGCTGCAAACAGTAATCTGCCCTTGCTCTCTAGTTAGGCTTCAGGCAAGGTTAGAGGAGAGAGCGCAAGGAGCCGGAGGCATCCTTCCCCTTGCTGCACAATGACACATATAAAAAGCCTGGTTCCCACCGCCTAGATTTGAACTTCTGGTTGCCTGATCAGAACCACCCCTTTGTCCTTTTATTGCAAACATTTTGCGGTATCATTGATACCGACATCTTTCCAACGCTAGATGACCATGGCCATGTTGAGCCGGAGTCATGAGGGTTTCCATCTTTCGTGGAATGACCCACTCCAGGTATCTGGCCCTTGCAAAGGCCCATGGAAGCACTCGAAGCCTGCGACCTGTTGTTCCTTAGGCTACTGCGGTCCTGATACTTGCAAGACGTTCTGGATATGACAATGGAGAGATATATAAACCTGCATCTGCCGGTCCGTTTTCATAGTCTCTCCCTCTTAACAAAACACTCGACCTCATTTGACACAAGACGAAACAACAGATTTTTCTGGCTCCAGCAAACTTCTCTTTCCCCATATTACAATGTCCAGCAGTCGACACTTCTCCACGATTATCATCACCTTCCATACTCCTCGCGCTGATGGGAGTCTATCCTCAGCTACCAGCAGCAACCTGGACCTAGAGGTGGTTTTCATTGACCATCACCAACACCGACTGGGCCAGTATCCCGACGTGCTCGTCCGAACCCTCAACAGCTGCTATCACAACCTGCAGCATGTGGACATCGAGGATGAGTTCGAGAGCACCAACGCCGCACTCTTCGGCGCTAGCCCACAAACCATGCTCTCGGTGGGCTCAAATCCCCCCTTGGAGCCAGCATCATGGAGTCAGGCTCCCGCTGGATCGCCCGAACGACCGCGGTTCGAAGTTATCACGCAGGACTGGCTTCGCCTTCCTTCCACCCGCCAAATTAGCAGAATCAGGCAGGCCCACTGCACCGTGGAATGTGCGAATGAAGCGGTGATGGATCTTGTCGCCATGTATCATGGCGGGTTGCTGGACGGTACGGGCGAGAACTTCGTGGAAGGGGGGCCCGCGAGCGAATGGTGCCCATGTACTTTGAGACAGAGGGAGGTGGCATGGTGGATAGACCCTGTTGATGCCACTTTGCAGCTGAGTGGGTGCAGTAGCGACGGGCATCGATTTCGTGTTTATGCCCGGCTGCGAAGGTAATGGGCTGAGGGGATTTATTTTTCATTTCTTTTTCTTTCTTTCCCTTTTTTTTTAGTGTTGGAATAATGCCTTCTGCTTCTCCTCTGGGGTATAATATATTGGGGCCAAAGCT